GAACTTGACAATCCAGTAGCTGGCCTTCCTCAACGGCTAACACAAGGTCAGCTAACACCAGCTGCTCTGTGGGAGAGAGACAAGGCTTTCTACCTTCTAAAGAATTAGTCTCCGAAACCCATAGGGGTGGGTCTACTCTGCCCTATAGGATCACTGAGTCAGAAGCAACTCGATGGCTGTGGGGGGTTGGTTTTTGTTTGTTGTATAGGAGACTGGGCAGAATTTAAGATGCTATTCCAGGTGAGGGTTATCAAGTGATTCGTGATTGGCTGGTAACCTGAAGGTGGCGAGTTTGAACCCACCCAGTGGTGGCAAGAAAGAGAGAACGTGTTGTCGCCACCAGTTAGCATCAACTGGATTTCGACATGGAGACATGGAAACAGGCATGATGGCGAGGTGGTCATCCTCAAACAGTTTTCCCAAAGAAACAAAAGACCCAACAACACGATCTCCTGGAATGGAGTCCGTGCAGACTCAGAGAGCCGATCTAAGGTTTCTGAGGTTTGGTAAAGCTTGATGGAAGCAGACAGCCTCGTCTTTCTCGTGGGAAGCAGCGGGTGGGTTTGAACCCCAAGACCTTGTGGTTAGCAGTGCAGCGTTTTACCTGACAGGGCCACAAGGGCTCCTTAGAAAGTAACATTACAGGCATACCCCCTTTGACCCGCAATCCCTCTTCTAGAGATGAACCCAAGTGATGCAAACGAAATCTTCTCAAAACTGTGCGCAATAATATTCCTGGCAGCCGACCCCATAATGAGGACAAATGGAATGAGGGGTATGTCTCCCCATCCCAAGGACACTCACCATGATGGAACCAACCACAGGCCCTTTGATCACCCACCACAGAGCCGTATTGTCATTCATGTCCCAGCAGCTGAAAGATGGGCAAACAGAGGGGTGCACAGACAGGGTGAAGTGAGGTCATGTCCAGGGGCTGAGGAACCCACAGGCTAATGCACCCGACTCCCTGAGCTCCCTGGGTGGGTGGGGGTTGGGAAGTGGGAGCAGCGAGCTGGCTGGAAGGAGAGCTCTTGGGCAACGGCAGCTGAGCCTGACCCTACCTTATCAGGTGTCCTGGACCTGAGCCTCGGTCTTCCCCTCTGCCTCCCTGGCAAGCCATCCCTAACTGCCCACTCATGCAATCAACGGAGCGAAAGAACAGGGCCTGGAGCCCAAAGCAGGGGTCACCGTGGGCTCCTGGGAAAGGACTTTGTTTTTTCTGAGACCTAGGGCTCACCGGGGCTGACCTCACCCTCCACAGTCTTCTTCCTCTTTTGAAAAGGAAAAGAGCCAGTCCAACCTGGGCCCTAGAAGGAGGGAGGGGCCCCGAAGCCTTGCACTTTCTGTCACTGAGTTCCAGAAGATGTCTGGGTGGGTCAACCTGAGAAAGGGTTAGGGGTCCAGGCTGGGCCCACCGGTGGATGGTTTGTTTGGGGCTGTTCTCCTAAAATCAGGTCAACAACGGAGAATTCCTCTGGAAGAATCCCTCTGCGCCTGCCTTCGTGCACATAGGTGTACTCACCCTGAATCATCGAAGTAGAACCTCAGCACAGCCCACACCGTCACACACACAGTGGGGGTCCCTGGCAGAACAAGGAAAGTAGACTCAAATAGCAGGAAAACCAACGTGGTTGAGTGTACCCCTCTGACTTGGTCGCCGGGGAGCCACTGACCCCCTTCCGTCTTGGGACTCTGATGGATGGGGACATGCCTCCTACTCAGACCCAGCGCTTCTGAGGACCCTCACTATCCCTCAGACGCAGCTCCAGGGACTCTATGTCCCCCCTTAGGGCCAACCTCGCCTCTCCGGTGGGCTGTAGGCCATCTCTGCTCCCTCAGACAGGGGTGTCCTCAAGGGTAGAAAGAGCAAAGGGGGGGGGGGGCACAGGACCCAGCAGCCTACCCCAGCCCCTGGCCCTGAGGCCTGAGTCTGCCTGACATCAGGCATGACCTACCCCAGCCAATAATGGTGTACCAGTAGAAGTATCTTCTCTCCGGGAAGAAGGTCTCCACCAGCAGGGTGAAGAGGTACAGGCCCTCGATGAACAGCCAGAAGTAGTTGGACACCACGCAGTAGTGGAAGAAAACCATGATGGCCTTGCACTCCACCTGCCCGGAGAGCCTCCAGGTCAGCCCCAGGAAACCCAGCCCCTGGGCTTCAGCGCTGCCATAGGAGGGCTAGACCAGCGGTTCTCAGCTTGTGGGTCTCGACCCCTTTGGGGGTCGCCCGATTCATAACAGTAGCAAAATGACAGTGATGAAGTAGCAACGAAAATAATGTTATGGTTGGGGGGGTCACCACCACATGAGGCACTGTATGAAAGGGTCGCGGCTTGAGGAAGGTTGAGAACCACTGGGCTAAAGGATCCAAAGGTTCTAAGGGTCACACCCTCCTTGGGTGTGAAGACTTGAACATTTCAACATCCCGTGATCCTGTGAGTTGAAGCCCCCCAGGGAAGCACAACGAAATGCATCAGAGAAGGCACAAAAGTAAGAGGACAACCCAGCTCCCTCCCTGTCTCCCCCCACTCTCCCTGGGGGAGGCGAGGAGGGACAGAAGTCGTGTGATGGCCTGCAGGACGGGGTCTCTGGGAAAAAGAGGATCCAGCCAGCACGGTGGTAGAAGACACCCCAGGCCTCTCATGGATCAAAAACCAAAAGAACCAACACATGGCTGTCAGGTTGATGTCAACTCATAGCCGTGTGCCCACCCAGAGTTCCGAGCCTTCTAGGATGTTCCTTCTACCCTACCACATCCCAGCCCATCCACTCTGTGCAACCCCTCCTCTGAGGGATCAGGGGACGGGGTGGCCTGAAAAATCCCAAGCTAGTCAGCACTCCAGCACCCACATGGCCTAGTGATGTGACCAGGAACCCAAACAAGCCCTCTCCGGGAGTCTGCTCCTCTTTGAACTTGACAATCCAGTAGCTGGCCTTCCTCAACTGTTCTGCCAAGAACAACACACACCAGAGAGGAAGAAGTGGACGCCAGGTGGCTGGAGCCGGTGTCACGTCAGTAACTCTACAGGAGTGTCCGGGTGGCACAGTGGTTAAGGGATCCAGCTGCTTACTGAAAGGCTGACCCTTCGAGCCCACCCAGAGACTCCTTGGAAGAAACTCGTGGCTATTTCCTCGACCAGCCCTCGAGAACCCCGAGCGAGCACAGTTCGGCTCTGACACATACAGGGTGACCAGGAGTCAGAACTGACAGGCAGGTAACCGGTGTGGTGTCTCACAGCTTCCTGGGTGACTCAGGGCTTCCCTGTAAATGGTGTGTGTGTGTGTGTGTGTGTGTGTGTGTGTGTGTGTGTGTGTGTGCATTGCCTTACTCTTCATAGAAATGCTAGTAGGGTGAGGGGCAGGCAGAGGGGTCTTGTCCCGGTGGCAAGTTGAGAAGCCTTCCCACCAACACACACGCATACACACACACACTGGCTGGCCTCTGTCCGGGGCCCTCATGCCTGCCCGTGGGCTCAGCTCACTCACAGTGGAGATGAAACAGTGGTTGTTGTCCTGCTCCGCGTACAGGATCCAGTCCTTGATGAAGACAGAGATGGCCCTCAGCATGAACGACACGAACAGGTTCATGTGGATGAAATTCCGGGTGCAGTGCAGCTTCCTGAATGAAGCAGCCAATCCAGATGCACTTCAGAGTCTCCCCTCGGGGGCCAACACCTTGGCTTTGTCACATGGGGGCCCACTAACTAGACCACCCCCTCTTCCCCCTCTCTAGGTCCTTACCCACTCCGAGGCCCCCCGCCATCGAACCCCACAGCTCCATGAGGTCATACGCCCTCCCTCCTGTGGCCTCTCTGGGGAGGATCCTAGGTCTCCTTGCCCAGGTTCTTGCAATGGGGCCCCAGACCAGTCAGTTGTCCTCTCGGGGGTCAAGTTTCTCATCTGTCATTCCAGGGGTTGGGGAAACACCTTCCAAGGGAACTTTCAGGGCTAATGCCAAGGGGGACAAGTTGAGTGGCGGGACTGAACAAGGCCTCTGAGACCTTGGCCAGCAACTCTGAGCAGGGGTGGGGCTGGGGGAGAAGCCATACTGGTGGGAGTCTCACCGGAAGCGACACAAGATGACCATGGCCGTGGTGAGGGTGACAAGGGATGTGCTATAGCCAACGGTGTAGAGGGCTTTCACCGACAGGTAGTAGTAGTCCTGCAATGGGAAGCAAGATATGTGAGGCTCCACGTGGTGCCTTGCATGGGCCAGTCCACTGAGTCCCCCCTTGGAACCACACCCAGTCCCCAAAACCAAGACCTGGTCCCATCAGTCCACCATCCATCTCCTCCTCCCACTTTCACCTCCCCTGAATCCCCATCAGTGTTTCCAGCCCCACCTGATGCACACACACGCACACACACACACCCTGCACTGACCCACTTATTCCTCTCGCTGGGCAGTAACAGACATGCAGCTCTGTTTAATGCAAGGGTGCTATTTCAGTATGGCAAGGGGACTAACCAATCAGAACAGACACTAGTCTCAGCACTGGAGAAGGGTACCAGGAGGTCCTCTGCTGGGCACAGCATAAACTCTTAAATTGCCTGGTCACTTGGAGGCCAGGTGTCCTGGTTGCTGATGGGGGGCACAGGGTGGGGCAGTGGTTTGAGGGGCTTGGGGACATACCCACTGGTTCTCAGCCCCGGCTGAACGAATGAATGCCCTGATCTTAGTGCACTGGCTTGGACACAAGGCAGACACTAAGGAATGTTGGTTGAATTGTACACCCTGCTCAGAGAACTGAGTTTGCTATAAGTCCACCAGCAGCCAAGGTCCTCGGGGAAATGCTCCCCACCCTGGCCTTCAGCCCTGCTCCCCACCTGGCAGGGCAGACACTCACCTGGTCCCCAGTCTCGTATTCATACTCAGCAAACCCACAAGCATCGAAGTAGTGAGGGAAGGGCTCTGACCAGCCCTCTTCCGTGCAGTTCCGGCTCACCACCCCTGTGTCTAGAGTGAGCAGAGGAGCCGGTGAGACACCAAGGGGCTTCAAAGGGCCCTAGCAAATTGCTTCTTTAGTGGAAATTCCTGGAAACCCATGTGCCCACCTAGGAAGCTTGGGAACTGAGGGTTGGAGAACTCCTCCACGGTCTGGGAGAATTAGTGGTTACTGATGGTCTAAAGTGTGTGAACTCAGCTCTTATTGAGGGCAGGTGAGGGGAACACTGAGCTCTTCGCCCAGGGTAAGAAGACTGAGTCAGCATCCATCCTGTATCCTGCCAATGCCTGCCTGCCTGCCGGGGAAAGGCCTCAGCCCTGGGATCCCAGCACGGAGAGGCTTCCAGGCCAGGAAACCCGACTCCTCCAGGGATGCTCCTTCAGAAGATGCAGGAGCAATCCCTGGGATCTTCTCCGGGACTGCGGGCTGCTGTCCTCCTCACACCTCATGAGCCACAGCTCCTGGAGATGGAGCTCTGGGCCTTACAGCTGTAGCAATACCCTTATCGCTGGGACAGACCAAGGAGGACTGGCCTTCTTGATCTTGGCACCAGACCTCCACTAACCTAGCAGGAGATCTGATTAAGCAATCTAGTTAAGTTTTTAAAAAAAATTAAATAACAAAGAAAGGTTGTGTCTTTCAGGCTAGTGGGATCTGTTTTCTGTCACGACATTCTCTAATGTTTGTTTTGCTTTTTGTTTTGTTTTTTTAATCGACTCTACAGGCAATGTTGTGGTTCTCCCAAGGGAGTGGGGAAGTCAAGGCTACTAAGGGTCATTTACTGGCTGCAGAGGGAACTCTGGGCTGCTTCTCCACAGCCTTCAGCTGTGTTAGCGTTGTATGACTGTCAATTGCAGTGGGGCACAGATGTCCACGGAGGATGGGGAGCAGGCACCTGACCCCACTCCAGCTTCTAAGAAGTCTGCCTGGTGTACGAGGAGGGGGCATATGCTCACTTTATAAACAGACACACGGAGATGGTTCTCCTTGGCATGAGTCACCAGTGCTACTTGCTACCGATTCACGCAGCATGAAAGTGCTTCATGGGGTCGTCAGGCTGTGACCTCTCAGAAACAGATCTCCAAGCCAATCTTCAAAGGCATCTTTGCGTAGATCCAAGTGTCCATCCTTGTCAGCTAGTGGTCAAGTCCTCAACCCTTCACACGGCCCAGGGGTGATCCTCTCCTTCATGCTGTGGTTAGGTGGCATCTCGTCAGTTCCAGCTCGTGGGGGCTCCGCATACGACAGACTGAACCCCTACCACATTTCTGTATTTGTGCTCACTCTTGATCCATCTCCCCGAGGACGTGGACCCTCCTATCAAGCATGATGTTCTTCTCCCTGATAGCATGTCCAAAGTACATGGGATGAATTCTCACCATCCTTGCTTCTAGGGGGCCTTCTGGCTGTACTTCTCCCAAGACAGATTTATGTGTGCCTCGGGCAGTCCGCGCCACATTCCATATTCCTCGACAGCACCGTCATTCAAAAGCATCAAGTCTTCCTGATTCGTTGCCTCACTTTTACCTGCATAGAAGGAAACTGAAAACATCATGGCCCGGGTCAGGCACACCTGAGTCCTCTCAGTCGAATCTTTGCCTTTTAACGGTTTAAGGAAAGGAGATCTTGTTGATGGCAGATGTGCCCAGTGCACATTGTCACTTCATATTTTGACGGGAGCTGCTTCCATGGACATTGGTGGTGTACTCGAGTAAAAGGGAATTCCCTGACGTCAATCTTTTCTCTATTGATTGTGATGTTACTTATTGGTCCCGATTTTTGTCTTCCTATGCTGCGGTGTAATCCCTACTGAAGGCTGTCATCTTTGATCTGCATTGGTAAATGCTTCAAGTTCTTTTGGTTTTCATCAAGCAAAAGTTATGTCATTTGCTGTCTTCTGCTAACCCTGATGCGCCTTTCTTCTCCACATTGTCCAGAGTCTGGGACAATTTTCACAGTAGATAGATTATGGTGAAAGCACACCATTGTGAACTACAGCCCCGATGTACACCGGACTTTAAAAACAAACAAACAATTGGTTTTCTAACTCCAGGTTTTTGCAATTTCATTATAATACTTGACGTTTTCCTCTCAAGCGGACCTTTGAACTCTTCTGTTTGGTTCTTTTACTTCCTCATTTCTCTCGTTTGCTGGAGTTATGTTAGAGTCAAGAACAAGTTTCAAAGTTTGTCTGACGTTCACTTTGGTCTATCCTTTCATGTTTCTTTAATGGCCTTTTGTTTTTTTCAGGCATGATGTCTTTGATATCACATTACTAGGTCAAAAATATTCTTGAAATGGTCTCCAAATTCAAGTGAGAGAGATAGACTCATGACCATGCCTTCGATCACTCCCATTTGCTTTTTCTTCAGCTTCAACTTGAACTTGAGTATGAGCGCGTGGTGGTCTGTTCCAGTCAGCTCTGCATCATTTCCCCCACAGATGCGTTCCATGCTATTCCCAGGTCCATCTGGCTGTTCACGTTGTTGAAAACAACAGTGTTTGCAGCGGATGGCTTCAGAGTAGCTTGAAGTGAATTTCTTTGCAGTGAATATATGAGTCGCTGTACATTACACTTGCATTGGATGGAATTTGACTGAATCGTAAGTCACTGGAATTGCAAAATTCTATCATTCAATCCCCAGCATGGTTTCTATCACCAAGGTCATGTTTTCCAACTGCAGATGCTTCCTTGTTCTCAACGTTCCCCTTCTCATCAGCAGACCGCGGTTGCACGTTTGATGGGTTTGAGACTGCATGAGTTGTTAAAGCCAGTCTGTTTATCTTGGGCACCAGTGTTGCTGGGCACATTTGAATAACAGTCGTGTTGACTGAGTTCCCTTCCTTGTAGGGGGATGGATACTATCGCCGACAAGGTTGTACTTCAGGAGAGCTCATGAAATGTTCGTTTTGATGATGGACGTGATGCCATCAATGTGTCCTACCTAGCATAGTAAACCATGTATGTTTGTGTGATTCCAAACGGCAGTCAGTATCAACCCATGTCAGCTCAGGAATGCCTGGGATACTGATCTTTAGGTGTCCCGTGTCATATTTGACAATTTCCAATTTCCCTAGCTTCATATTTCATGCATTCCACATTTGAGTTTGCAATGGACATATGTAGCTCTTTCCTCTCCTTTTGAGCCCTCAGTAAGTGAGTTCCCAAAGCCACATCACAAAGATCGGCTCTACTTTAAAGGGGCAGCTCTTCCCAGTCGGACTGTGAGGACCTTCCACTGAAGGGGCTCATCGTCTGGCACAATATCAGACACTGTCCCTGGCCAATGTTTCTTAAAAGTAGGCTGCCTGATCCTTCCTAAACTGTCTTAGGCAGAAGGTCCCCAGAAACCTGCCCACCATGAGTGACGCTGGTCTTTGAATGACCGGGGTCTACCTTGAAACATCACAGCAAGAAGCCGGCGACTACAATACACCTGCACAGCACAACAAACTGACAGACAAGTGGTGGCTCCCTTTCCTAAGACACACACAAAAGAAACACCACCCCCAAACCAACTTGCCATAGGGTGCCGATTCCAACACACAGGGACCCCAGGAGTTGCAAATAGAACCATGCCTTTGTTTTGTGTTGTTTTTATGACTAACAACAGACACTTAGTCCAGAGGCCCTCATACCACTCAGAATTTTACGTACAGCAAGAAACATTAGGGGGAAAGGAGATGTTCCCCCCAGTTGCTGGGCAGAATTATCCTTTCTGTGGCCAAGAACCATCTTCAGGGAGCCGGGAAGGAAAGAGGCTTGGGCAGAGGCAGAGGGCAAAGGAGGAGATCCCTCCACGTTTCCAACCAGTGTGCCCTCACTGCGTAAAGCTGGAAGGTCTGAGGCCAGTTCTCTGTAGCCGAGAAAGCCAGAAGCACGGGCCTAGGATCTTTGGATGCAGCAAAGGAGGAGTGGGATGATCCCACGCAGTTTTGCTCAAAAGGAGCCCAGAGCAGAAGCCCATCTCCGGCCTCCCTTCCCCCATCCCGAGTTCTCTGACGAAGGAGGTGCGTGTTTGGCAGGCTCAGTGAGAGCCAGGCACAGAAGCTCCGACAGCTTTCAGCGCAGCCTGACTCAGGCTTCCCCTGGCAACCTCCTGCCTAGTCCTACTCCTTTGAGAAGCTCTGAATGCCCTGGCGGCATCACTGCTTCAGCCAAGCCCATCCCTTCCCCGGCCTCCTTGCCTCTTTACTGCGCCTCCAAGAGGGTGGTGGGAAGTGGAGAGGAGGCTGCTTGGAAACACAAGAACAAAAGTGTCCTAGGGATAAAAGCCACTGCCTTTCTATTTCTTTCCTTCCTTCGGGCTGTATTCTTTTTTTCCTCATGCAAGCCGTGTGGGCTCTGAAAATGTATAAAGTGTTTTGTTCGGCACTGTTCCGTGAATTTGCACCTCTATTGTTCCGACACAAACCTCCAGCACACGGAGTGCTCTCCAGATTGTCAAAACCCCCGCAGTGGTCGTGCTGAATCCCTGAGAACTACCTGGGCCATTCTGCTCCAGCAGCTTTGCAGGGGAAAGTACAGAGTCTTAGGGCAGTGCTTCCTAAAGGGTGGCTTCCTCTAAGGCAGTGGCTCTCAACCTTCCTAATGCCGTGACACTTTAATACAGTTCCTCATGTTGTGGTGACCCCATATGTGGGTGTATCTGCATGTGGGTGGACCCACCTGGAGAC